CAAGAAAAAATAAGACAAGTAACTTATAGTATTGACCTATTTTATTATTGTAACGTTATTATTAAGCACTTTTTTTTCGTTTTCTATGTTTGCCACATTTTTATCACTCGTCTGATTCATAATGTACAATTACCACACTGATAAACCCACTCCACTTTTTATTATTTGAAGTTTCAGCTTACGTCGAAAGCTGTTTTTAAAATATAAGAGAAGCTCAGTAACGGACGTTCGTTACAGGGATGAGAATGGGAAATATCGACATATAAAACAAAACAATGATACGTCCGTCATGCAAAAAGACGTTAGAGTAACTCTTCGATATTAGTTATCAGATAATTAAGTATACCTACCGCATGAAATAAAAGGTTGTTTTAATTTTTTTTTGTTTTTGTAAACCGTCTCCTATAAACCATTCGTACTACTTGTGTTACATCGTCTATTTATAAATAATACCATTTCCAGAATTCTGCCCAACTTGTACAGGACTAGTGGATGGGTACCATATGATCTGACGAATTATGCACTGATGCTGGAGAGACGTTGACAGTGGATAACTGGAGGCCGGAGAAAGGAATGGACAGGGTCCGATTTGGTCTGTAGCACCATTGGAGACAGTGCTGCTTCGTACTTATATATGTCCAGAAAAAGGTTAATAATCTATAACGAGCCTTCGAAAAATATCGTAACTATATACGTGCATTTTAAATGCCTTTATATTTGAGCTGTTTTGCAAATCAGAAATACTCTACCCAATAGGTGGAATGGAAGACGTGGAACGATCGAATGACCGGCTAGATCCCTCTATTTGACTCCTCTCGATTACTTCGTATGGGGTTATTTAAAATTTAAAGTAGGTATATTTTAATAAACCAAACAGTTAATTTAACATTAAAATTTTGTGATAGAGACATTATCAAAATTTTACATCTTAAAAATCAATTTTCTCAGTTCAACATCTCAAAAATCTCACAGGACTAAAATCCCTTTCTAACAATGTGCCATACGACCCCCTTTGCTATTTAACATTTTCGAGGGGGTGCTGGGGGGTGTAATATTTTCATACTGTAAATTGCCAATTTAAGAATAAAAATCAACCTGTTTCAGGTTTTTTTTCACATAGTACATAAATAACGCTGAAAATTAATTTATTCCATACATATGGACTGCATGGTATAACTATTGTATTAAAATTTCAGGTGCAATTGTCAGATAAGAGTGATCACTCAACTCGTTTTGTAAACAGTTGCATTATGTAACATAATAAAAAAATAGCATTAATAATCGTACAATAAAATCGTAGATAGAGTAATTACATTTCTCAAATCCGTGTCAAATGTCACAGACCGATTATCTTTGTGGTAGGTTTTATTTTCATTAACATTTGCTTTTCCTATTATGTAATACAATCGTATTACAATACAAAACTACATATTTTCGCAAGATTTTATTATAAATGTATCAATTATAGGAAATTTTTATTTTTCAGGCACCAAGTTGATGTGATATAACCTAGAAAGTTTAAGTTTTTACAATTATTGGCTCTGTAACATCTCACATCTTACTCACTTCTGTAATAATTTTTTCTTTTCCCTATCATTTTTTTAACCATTAAGATTTATATACAATCTTTGCCTTTCGATTGATCTGTGCAGCTTAGCAATTTTATCCATAGTTTACTCTTGTAAATGCCTATATTATGAAGCGTACCTAAGTGAAAATTTGATTCACTTTTGTATTTTTTTTGTTTGATTTATTCTAGCTTCTTCTGCTAACTTCTTTATTGAAGTTAAGTTCAGTTAGCATAAGTCAGTAGCGCTGATCATTTGCAAATGATAAAACGAGCTTGTTCTGTTGATTAAGTTTTTCAATTAGCCTAGTGTTTACTAGCAATATTGCTAGGTTTTTTTCTATCTGATCCCTTGATCTTATTCTGGGTATGCATCTCCTTCTTCTTCCTATGTACTTTGATTATTTATGAGTTTTACAGGGTGCACCTCGCTTATTATTTTTATATAACCTAACCAACATCATGGTATTACTGCCAAAGTTGAGCCTCAGCCTTCCTAAGCTTGTTCCTCATTTCTATTCGATTATTTGCAATTGATGCCAGTTGGTAACACCGAACTTGCTTGCATTGTCATCTGCACCATCTCATCTCAACCGTGGTCTACCTTTTCGTCTAGTTCTCACAGGCTTTGCCAATAAAATATGTCGCGATGGTTAGCTCCCACTTAGTCTGGCTAGTGTCCTACCTATGGTAGGCTTCTATTTTTATTGCAGTAATTTTCCTTGATTATTAGAACACTTATTTTTTGGTTAATTGGTTTGTATACAAAAACTATTCGCCGTTCTTTACCTTGGACTCTGGAAGTAGTTCCAAATTAATGTCTGATATTTTGGGGGCTGTAATATATTCGTGTTGTTCTCTATGTTTGTAACTTCTTTGGCCTAGTCAACATACCTTGTTAATTTTCATCAGATCGATTAATATCAGATTCATTGTAGAGGTCAATTCAAAAATTGTGGTTCCTACGGCGAATGCCATTCTTCTGCACACCTTTCATAATGTACGTTCAAACAAAGCCAAATCTTATTCGTTTTTTTTGTCACCCTCAAGGTTTTTGATGTGTAGAAAGTAAAATTTTTTGATATTGGTGGTGTAAGTGGTACTTTTTTTTGGTATTAGGTACTTTGCAATGGTATAAATATGTCGATATACTGCTGTTATTATTTTCATTACATATTATGTGTTCTTATAATGTTGTATTTAAGTTAAATATTCTTACAAACTCTAAATCTAAAGAAATATTTTTTGTTTTGTTTTTTTTTTTCAAATTTCGTTCTTGATGTAATATACAGCTTTAAATTCTTCATATTGACAAAATAATATATTTTCGTTCTACAACAATACCGAAATAATAACGTTGGCAAACAACGAATATTAATTTTAAGATTTGTTTGTAATCATAAGCAAATTTTCTACTTAATCGTAGTATCAAATTTCGGTACGACGACGCACGGATTCTGATGTTCGCTAAAGGGTATAATAAAATTTATTTATTCAGACAATTAGGCCTTTATTGTCAACACTCCCTCGCTTCTCAGTCGTTATTAAAATATAATGAGTCTAGGGACACGTTTCATGAGCTAAACCTGCCAAATGAGCCTTTATAACGTGAGATTATAAGAGACTATTAAAACTATTCCTCGGGACTTATCAGTTGGAAAACGTAAGGTAATAATACACAACACAAACAGCCGCAGAAAGGAGATTATTCATATATACTTTAAACACGGTATAAAATATTTTATGAACACAGTTCTCTTTTGCAGAACAAAAAGAATAATTTATTGATATAATTAACATAGAAACTGATATAATTGAAAAAAAGACGTAAAAGCAAGGAATTGACAAATCAAAGCATCACAAATCCTTGGGACGGAAATGTAAATTGATTGTTAACAACAAAATAATGGAACAAGTATTGAAAGTGTAATATTTGGGAATTTAGTTACAAAGTAGTGAAGACAGAAGTACTAAAATATAAAGATACTATTTATTGGGAACGTATACCCAGTCATCGAATCTGAACGTTAGTACCTTTTTTAATCTTACTCTTCTTCAAGGAGGGCTGCTCTTTTTTTCGAGCGCTTTTGAGGGAGGCGAGTTAGTTGCAAGTAGTGTTTTCGGAGTAGTATGCGGCTAGCGGGGGCTTAAGTGGTGGTGAGGAAGAATAGAGAACTAGCCAACCAAGCCATGAACAGAAGGTACCTCCGGTGTTACCAACCATATTAGGAACGGCTGGCTCTAAATTAGCGTTTTTGGTGAGCAGTTAGTTTACCTGCGTTATTTGAGGGAAGTTGCTTCGAGGATGTCGTAGTACTCATCAGGAAGTTCGTTACCAGCAAAGTGTAGAAGCTTGGCTGGAGGGAATGGAACTTTTGTTAGGGGGAACCTGGTGAGTATGTGCTATAAACCTGATCGAAAGCTTCCTGAATATTGAAGTATTGCGCAAACTGACAGAAGTAAGCTTACAATTATAAGAAGCATTACAATCATAACAATCATATTTTATGGAGACTTAAGCTGCAAACTCTGTAATCAAACAGCATAAGTGCACTATAAAATCGACGTTAAAAAGTTGAAAATGAGTAAGACGGTAGTAGTTTTCGAAAAATTGTATGCTGAGAAGAAAAGATACAAAAACAACAGCAGAAATTGAAGTGAATAAAAAAATATCAAAGACTGGAAATAATACCGAAAATGTACGGAATAGGGTTAGCCGAAATTATAATAATAAGATTCTGTATGATCATAGGCTGAGAAGAGACTCCTCTGAAAACAAAAATATTAAATGGAGTAAGACAAAGGCGACTCACTGTCATTCTCATTATTTAAAATCGAAATACAAGGATAAAAACGCTGTCGAAAGAAAAAGAGCGTTATTACAATATCTATATCTCAATTTTTGGCATGCTGATGACATACCACTTATTAAATACACGAAATTCAGTTCACTAAAAACACAAAACGGAAAATTTTTCTGTTTCGTACAACAGTAGAACAACAAAGCTGCAATTAGGTTAGTTATAACAAATGGTGCCGAAATTATGTGCTTAACACAAAAAGATGGGGAGAGGTTAAGGATCCTAGAGAGAAATATAATTTAAAGAGAGAACATTGTAGAACAACGAAGCAAGGTAAATTTAAAAGGAGTGACATTGTCAGATTTAATAGGACACATAAAGTCAGATATAGGAGGGATCGACTCAGTATTTATCAAAAAATAACCAAATTACTAGTGATAGATAGACCAAGGTCAAGTCCCAAAATAAGATGGGACGTCCAAATAATCGAGGACGTTTCTATGGAAAAATCAATTTAGAGTTATAATAGTGAGATGTATCTTTTGCCCAAATATGGTGTACCTCAAGATATTTTTATAAATTAGCTTGTTTAAAAAACAAGATTTCAAAATTTTAATGCATAAAGTAATTACCTCTGATCGTAGTGTCGTCCGGTTCGTACATCCTCGCATTTGTAGGCGTTTCATAATTGAGAGCTTTTTGAAGTTCATCCGTGATGAGTTTCTCGTAATATTTAACCTCGTCGAACACATTGTCGCTGGCCGTTGCACAAAAGTCCTTAGAAGAAAACAAAGTTAACGTAAAAACCGCCAGCGGGACAGACTTGAACAGTATCATCGTTTAAGCAACTGCATTCATACACTGAAGGCAGGTATTTGCTAATTGATTCTTTTATTTGTCCTCGAAAAAAATATATATTAATCTATTTCGTAATTTAGTCCACGATAAACACTCATTTACACATTTAATGTTTGTATATTATTAAAATACTGAACGTACTGGGTATTAAAAGGTAAGATATGGTTTCGAAAATACTATACAGGACGGACTAAAAGTTTCTGTGTTTTTAATGTAAACAAATAATTGCAAAAGTGACAGCAAAACTATATATATTTTTTAAAGATACAATGTTTGGTTTCTATAGAAGGTTTCTTGCATCTTCAGGCTTTTTTATGTTTTCCGGAACAGTTGCCGAATTATAATACCACCGTGTTTAACCCTTTCAGTCACAACTTTTTTTGAGCTATGGGAAAATTCTCATATTTGGTATATAAAATAAACTATTTTTGTTGATAATTTTAACATCATTTTTTTTTGATATGTCATATGTCACTTGGCATATGACATGTCCATGTTGATGGACATTATGACTTGAAGCAAAATAAAATAAACCTGAAGATTTTAGAAATTTATTTGAATATCATTAGAATGACGAAATAAACAATATTCTTTGTAAATAACGAATTAATCATTTTACATGAAATTTAAAAAAAACAGTTACGACCGCTTACAAAACATAAGTGAACATTACATTTCACGCAAAATGTATGTGATTTTCCCTTACAGTTCTCCATTTTGCAACGTGTACTATCTTTTTTTTCATCTATTTTCGGAAAATGTCCATAGCTGTCGAACCGTATTTCAATATATGGCATTGCTTCAGTTTTGGTTTTTTTATTATTTGGTGTACAAGTATTTTCTTGACCAGATGGTCTGCCTCTCTTTGGTGGAACCTTATGTAAAATGAGGTGTTGCCCAATACTCATTTTAAAGTCCCACAAATCCAGGATTTTATTGTGTTGTACGCCTAGCAGTTCAGCTTGTTTTCTATATTCCAACCAGGAATTTACTATCGCCATATCTATAGAATGTGTTATCATACGTACAGTCCATTTTCTGGATCGTCTGTAGGATCTGTAAACGCTCAATAAAAAATCTAAATTATCAACACCACCCATGTTGGAATTGGAAAGCGATATGGCTTCCGGTCTACATACATTTATATACTCTTTCGACGTCGTATCCCATCTCTGGCACAAATCCATTTTTCCCGCTGCAACAAAATTTGAAGCCACTAAAACTGGTTTATTGTCGAACCATTTTGTAATCACAATTCCATCTTCACTAACCGCTACATCAAAACTACCTCTACCATTTTTTTTAGATCTTTATCAGATGTTAGTTCTGGTCCAAAAAATCGGTTTATTCTAATTGTTCCGACAGCCATAATAGATTTATTGTTCAACCATTGAAAGAATAATAATAAGAGATAAGAACTAAAGAAATTATCAAAGTACAAACCGTGATGAGTTTCTTCAATTCTCTCAACTAGCTGCATCACAGTTCCAGCTCCTTGTCCAAACTGTGCATAATTTTCTTTTATTTCCGTTTCAGCACCTTGATATATGATGAAATCGTAAATGATACCAGATTGTCCAGCCAATATCCATAATTTGATTCCCCATTTTTTCGGTTTATTTGGGAGGTACTGCTTGACATTGATCTGTCCCTTGAATGGAACAATTTGCTCGTCAATGCACAAATTTGTTTCGGTTTGAAGTTCCCTACAACGATTTCTAATGGAATTATATATTTCTCGGACTTTCCACATGCGATCTGTTTCGTCACCTCTTGCTGTTACATCTACTAAGTGAATGGTATTGCGCAACTAGAGAAGCGATTGAATGTCATATTATCTTTTACAATTGAAATACCTGTAAGCTGGGACCAATACAGTCTTGCTCTTGGGAATTTTAGATTTCCCATAATAATGTGAATGCCTACAAATCGCTTTATTTCTTCTTTATCTGATGGAGAAAACCGAGTAATATTTTTTTGTACGGCATATAAGTTAGTCATTTTTAAAATCTTCTCAAACAGAGCATCAGGTATGTATTTCATGAAATATTCAATAGGAGCAGGTAATTCATCAACTTGTACTTCTTCTGGAACAAACCACTGTACTGGCCTGGTAAGATAGGTAATGTTTTTTTTCCAACAAACATCTTTCTTATTTGTGAGTTTGAACTCTTTACAAAACTCTAGCAGTCTCTCCTTTGCAATTGTTTGTTTTTCAGTGGTTTGGTTGGAATTTTCTTTGGTTTTCATGTCCTCAGACATTGGTTGTTCTGTAGTCACTTCATTGGGATATTCTAGATTTTCTAACTCACCTCTTTCTGTTGAGTTCTGTTCTTGGATCAATCCGTCAAAAATAGTTTCCTCAATATCTTGGATATCATCGCCAAATTCTTAGGAAACGTTATTTAGATCCGCAATACTGTTGGCGTCATCAGCATCTGACAAACGTAATATTTCTGAGTCATCGTCTTTCATGAGTAAATCCAGAAGTTCATCCTCAGTCAAGGGTTGTGACCATCTCTTTTATTTACTAGTTGACGGTAAACTTTCCATTTTATGGATATCTAAATCAACACGACCTTGCTAATTTTTATATGCATAAGTATACCTAAGTCATTTTGTCCATCTACATGGACATTAAATATACACCACTTTATAAGATATTTTCAGTCAACAGTTTGATACATAATAAAAACACACTATACTAATGCTCTTTACTTACCCAAATCAGCAGGTATTTGTACGAAAAAACAAGTTTATTCAATAGAAATCGTTCCAATAACAAACAGGTGTTTTCACCACCACGACAGCGTGCTAAATGCAACCTGTTTTGCGTTTTATATAGCTTCACAAATCGACTAACAGATGGCCATCAATGTATTTAATGCTTTTCTTATGCATGTACCCACACATGGACAAAATGATTTGGGCGATAATAACCATCGATGTTTTAAGAAAATGCTTTGAAAATCGATATCCATCGGTGTGGACACGATGACCGAAAGGGTTAATTTCAACTGACCACATATTAACCATCGTTTTCTAATATTTGTAAGCAGTATTATAACTTTATAATGGAAATTAAGTATGAAAATCAAAAGAGAAAATACAAATAATGTTAACTGTAACAAACTAAGATGGACTTCTGAAGAAGAGCTGCTGTAAAATCCCGGCATAAACAAAAAATAAATGACTAGAGATCATTGGAATTAAACATATAGTTTAAAAGTAGCCACATTTTGAACTCTTCATGCGGATAGAATACTTGTATGCAATTTCAAAAATGTCTTCTTTGTTTTCTTTACTTCTGGCTTCTTTTCTCTCTCTCTTCTTATCTCTCTTGTATAATATTTATATAATCTTAACGACCAACTTAATAAAAATAATTATTTCCTCCTAATTCTGTTCATCAGATTAACGAAAAAAGATGATGGATATCAATCAGGAGGTCCAGATAAGATGATATTAAAAACGTTGACGTTTTTCAATTCTCTAATTGTTTTTACGTCAACGTCAACTTTTTTGACAATTAACCAGAGGTGAATGTTAGAATATTTATTAATTAAATGCGAAACTACAATTATTTTAATATACCTATTCAATCATACTAATTTTGTTTGGATTTAAGATGATTTTGACGAATAAATTAAATAAGCACTAAAATTCTAGTTTGGCATTTAATTAATAAAAATTTAAAGTCCGTCTTTGGTTATTTGTCAAATAAGTTGACGTTTGTCAATTCTTTAGTTGTTTTCAGTTTGCAAAACGTTTATAGCTCAATATTTAGTTTCTGTTTGTGCTTAGTTTAGTCAATTCTTTAGTTATTTTTAGTTTGCAAACGGGTTTATATCTGAATATTTAGTTTCTGTTTCTGCCTAGTTTAGTTAATTCAAGATTATTCAGGTTGTTTTTAGTTAGTTGTTCTTAATTAATATTTAGTTTACTTATTGTTTAACGGGACGTTTAAAGTTTTACAAAGGCAGAATGGTACGTACTGTAGCCAACAAAGTAGTAGCTGTGTTAATAATTGGTGAATGTGGAAATAATTTTTATGCAGCAGAACGTGTTTTTAATGAGAGGTACCCCGATCGACTTACATCGAGAGCTTATTTGAGGAAGCTTGTTCGGAAGTTTAAACTTCTGCGAAAGATCCAAAAGAGCCTCCGAACGGAGAGTGGAAGATATATTATACTATCCTCAGGCACATGATGGACCACATCCTCACCCGATGATGACACCTGTGACTGAGGACACCGTCAGCAGATATGTAACTTAGGTAAAAACACATCTCCTGGCCCAGATGACATCCACAGAAGATGCCTCAAAAATCTTCCACAGAATATTATCCTGTTGCTTACCAATATAATCAATGCATCTCTAGCGCTGAGCTACATTCCTATTGCTTGGAAGGTGGCCAGCACCGTCATGATCACTAAAAAAGAGAAAACCCTCACCAACCCTGAATCGTATAGGCCCATTTGACTATTGAGCACCCTAGGTAAAGTCTATGAGAGGATCCTTAAGGAGAGACTCGTAGAATTCCTAGACGCTCACTTCTTAATTCCAAACTACCAATTCGGATTCAGGGCTGGACACTCCACACAAAATGCTTTGGTTGAAGCAACAACTTTCATCTCACAATCCATTAACGAAAAGAAACACGTCATGGGCATATTCCTCGACGTCCAGAAGGCATTCGAACAGGTCTGGCATATAGGCCTCGTTGAAAAGCTCTACCTCGCTGGACTGCCAACACCTTTCGTTAAACTAATTAATTCCCATCTCTCCCACCGGACGGTTAGGATCAAAGTAGCTGACCACCTATCCACCCCCTTCACTCAACAAGCTGGAGTGCCCCAAGGCTCAATACTTGCACCAACACTTTACACAGTATACAATAGTGACATTCCCCGCCCACAGCAAGTATCAGAGTCTCTCTTCCTATTCGCTGATGATACGGCCATTCTCACTTCAGGCTC